CATCATGTCCCAGGTAACAGGATGGAAAGAAGTGTCAAGAAGGGTATATCCCCTTCCTTTTTATGCGTTTTTATTTATTTATTTTTAAACAGAAGTCCCACACAACATTTCTGTGTAGATCTCAACAGCCAGAATTTAGTCATGTGGCCACATCCACGCAAGAGATACTGGCAAGTGTTAGATTTTAGTTGAGTGGCAATAGGACCATCTAAAAATTTGGGGTTGGTTATTATGGAAGAATGAGCAAATAGACATAGGGAAATAATTTGAAATCTCTGTCACAGGTACTTCACATATAGTTGGCATTTGATAAAAATTTCTTGATTCATTTTTATAAACTTGATAATATTCTTAGAGGTATCACTCAAGCTGTTAATAAAGGTAATGAATCTAAGGATTTTTCCTCTTCTATTTTTTTACTTTATAATAACATAATATAGCATATCCTCACACTAATTTCATCTCAAATAAACCTATCTGGAATTAGCTTATGTGGGGAATATATTGGAAGGATACGGTGAAACCCTTGGAAGAAGCAAGCCTAAGCAGATGGAAAGGCAGAGATTCTGTCAATGGTCAAGAAAACCTAGAACTGAGAATTCCAATATAACAAAGATACTTTCTCTATCCTCTCTGCTTCCCTCTGTCCGTTGACTTTATTCTCTTGATGCAAAATGTGCTTTTCCACTTGGCGGAAAACATCCAATGACAGCTCCCAGATTTTATATCTTGGTGAGGCTTGAGATGACCTCTCTTCCAAAGTCTTAAAATCTTCAAGGAATGGCTTCACTGGCCCATTTTGGGTCAGGTGTCCAGCCTTTGACCAGTTAGCTGTGGCCAAGGCACAGACAGTAGTAACATAGCTTCTTTTCCTGCTATAATATGATAAAAGTATGGAAATGGAAGGGGCAGTTCTTACAGGGAAGGTGGGTGCTGGCCATACAGTTGTGTAGGCTACTATAATTCTATATGATGGAAAAACACGGATGAGTGGTCTGAATTATATGGATGATAGAGAACAGAATTTATCCTGAATGCAAAAAATTGATTTAGCTATGAAAAATCATTTGATAGGGCTGCAATATATAGAATGTTTACTGTGTGTCAGGCATTATGCTAAGTGTTTTTTATATGTTGAGTCATTTATCCCTGACAACTCTATGAGTTAGAGATTATTGTCCTCTTTTATAGATGGAAAAACCAGAGCTTAGAGAGGTTAAGTAACTTTTCTAAGATCATATAGCTAGTAAGTTATATTTGTCTTAAGTTCAAAGTTTTTAACTACCAGGGTAATATACTATCTCATTACTTTCCTATGTTGAGTTGGAAACTATGGTTATTTCTGATGAGGCAATTATTAGGTTTTTCCCCCCCTCAGTTCTGTCATAGCAAAGCTATATGAACTTTATAAATCTTGTACTGTGTCTGGGTCTTAATTTCTTCATCTGTAAAAAAGATTAGGTTGAATCAAATTACTTTTCCCCCTTGTTAATGCAGGTAATGTTTTATTTCTGAAGGCAAAATGGTGGGCCATTATATTTTTAAAATTCTAATTCACCTAATATTTTTTAGTGCTTCTTGAGCTATGTTAGGAACTATGATGAAATTAGAGATACATAAGGTATAGTTTTTGCTTACTGTGTTATGGAGAAACAAGCAAACAAAATTATTATTTTGCAGAATTTGAAGTCCAGTGAGGAGTAGCCTCAGGAGTGATAAAACCATCAGTTCAATAATATTCTCAAGGGTTTTTAGCTGTTTGCTATTCTCAGTGTGTTGACTTCATTCTAAGGTTAGTTCTTCTTGTGGTCATTAGCTTTCTGCCTGTGGCAATCTGGGTTATAGGCTGACGTGTTCATACCTGGTAGGAAAGAGAGAATCCTCTTCCCTAAGCATGGACTAAAAATCCTTCCCTTTAGTCTGATTGGGCCAGTTTACCAGGACTATAATAGTTTTCAGGTGTATTAATTAGAATAGTCTAGGACTTGCTAATAGTCTAGGACCTTAGCATAACTCAAATTCTAGGTCACAGTGCAGTAAAAAAATAACTCCAAATCTTAGTGGCTTAAACAACAAAGGTGTGTTTTTTACTCAAACTATTGGGTTGTCGGAAAAGTCATGATGCATTTTTGCAACGAAAAACATAGAAAAATATGTCATGACTTTTCCGACAACCCAATATATATCCATCCTGACTTGATGAGGGTGGGAGGAGGTGGGCTGTTCTTTATTGTCCTTTCTTGGGGACCTAGGCTGACAAAGTCTATCATCTTCAACAATACTGGCCTTGAGGCTGGAGAAGAATAAAAACTGTAAGAACTTATACTTGCGGGCCGGCCGAGTGGCGCGATGGTTAAGAACTCGCTTGGGATGCCAGAGGGCCCCGGTTCCGATCCCACATATGAGGGCCAGTGACACTGCCCTCTACAGCTAAGATGCTGAACAACAGCTCAACCTGGAGCTGGGCTGCTGTGAGTCGCCGGGAATGGCGTGGGCTGCAGTCCCTGTGGCAGTGGGTTGCCATGGGCTACCGTGTGTAGCCAGCAGCCAGCGTGAGCGGCCAGCAGCCGCAGTGAGCGGCCGTCCAGAAGCCGGCGACTGATCTGCCTCACCCGGGAAGAGCGCAATGATGGTGCCAACTTGGGCCAGTGAAGCAACATCCTCCACAATTAGACTGAAGAACAAAACGACAGCAACTTGTCTGTCCCCCTTCCCCCAATTCCCCAGCACTGTTCCCATCCCCCCAATTCACCAATAAAAATCTTTAAAAAAAAAAAAGAACTTATACTTGCAATTAAATATTTTACGTGGAAGTGACACATACCGCTTCTACCCACAATCTACTATAGACTAGGGGCTACAATTAGTTACATGATCCACCCAATTACAAGGGTGGGGGGGGGTGGCAGGGATGTACACTTGAAAATGTCATCTCTGTACATGCCTGGAAAGACAGGGTAAGCATTACAAATCCCTACCATACCAGAGAATTCATTTACTGATTGACTCAGGCTAACTGAGTTGCCCTTTTGTAGATGGAGGTTGGATGGTTACCTAAAAAACAAACAAAAACAAAACAAGCCACTCTATGAATAAAGAAGATATAAGAGTGGATGTTGAATAAGAAATCAACAGTGTGAACTATATGGTACTTTATCCCAAAGGAGAAGAAAGAAATTACAGCCATGGAGGCAAGTCATAGGGAGGGATAGCTTGGCTCGTTTTATCAGACTTTAAATCAATCACTTCATTGACTCTTCTGATTGGAAAGATTAGCTCTGGCTCTTTTAATGAGTGGGTGTAGATAGACAGTTTCTATTTAAGGAGTTGGCTCAAAGGTGACTTAAAACATTTATTGAAGATATAGACTGTTTTTCCATATTTCATTGTTGTAGTTGCCATCAAGCTGGCTAGATTTATAGTTTAGAACTGGCAAACAACTAAAACTTATCTAGTCCAATCCTTTATTTTATATTCGGTTGTCGGAAAAGTCATGACGTATTTTTTTCTATGTTTTTCGTTGCAAAAATGTGTCATGACTTTTCCGACAACCCAACAGATGAGAAAACTAAGGCCCAAATGGGTAAAATGATTATCTCAAGGTCATATCTTATTGCATATAGCAATAACAGTGCTGTCCTTTGGATGATTTACTGCAAAATGGAATCCTCTAAGTAAAATGTAGCTGGAGCAACAATTAGAAAACAAGAACAATTAAAAACTATTAGGAGTGTTTCCAGGGCTGACATCTGTCTGGTTGGTCTACATTGGTAGAGATGAAAAAATTTCTAAACTATTTGGTAAGGGGCTACTGCTGAACCACCTGAGAGCCTCCTCAACCCTTCTCTGTGACCCCACAAATCTCCCCATGGTAATTAAAGGGTCTACCTTAAAGGGTTGATTTGAGAATTAAATGATGGAGGTAAAGAGTTTATCATGGGGCCTGGCACTCAGCAATATTACACATTGGCTAGTCTTTTTACTATAGTCATTAATAAAATGGTAGTATATTTCAAACTAGTTCCTACAAGAATGTTCACAACTTTTGAAATTCAAGTTCATTACTTCGATCTAGCTAATCTCAATAAAATGGCTACTCGGGTACTCACTTAACTTTCATTTTGATATTTTCCTATTGTCTACTGGTTGACTTCTCCTTGCCGTACCCGCAAAACCCTACAGCGCTGGTTGGAGACTAAGAATTTGACCCAGGCTGTGTAAAAGAATATGATGTACTGACAAGGTTCTATTAGTTCTCAGTATAAAATGTCATGAAAAATGTTCCGTACAGTGTTTTGTTGAGCAGAACTTATCTTCAAGTTTTTGCATAAGCAAAATTAGGTCTAAAGCCTAGTTAATGAGGGAGGGGTGGAGGAAGTGGTGGAACACTTCCACTTTCTTAAGCAAATACCTGAAACTAGGAGTGATGAGAGGCAGAGTCAGACAGCTGGGGTGAGAAGAGAGAGTGAGAGGGCGTAGCAGCAGAGAGGACGGCTGGCGCTTGTGGAGAAAACATCCTTTGACAGAGATGTCTTGATGTGTAGAACCTTTTGGGAATACTTTCTGGCTCAGAAAATTAATCTGGCAAGAGAAAGGCAGTTTCAGTAATAATCCTCTCTAGAGAGAGTAAAAGAAATGTGTTTTTTAAAAGCTGGGACTGTTGTGAATTTTCTGTAAATTTATTATTGGCCTGGAACTTAATGTGTAAAGACTTGTTCTCAAAAGTCAGTTGTTTAACTGATACTTCCAGTTAGTTCTGAGGTGGCAGACAAATCCTGGGAATGTCCTGGAAAGGGCCTTGATAAGTGTTCTGTCACAGGCTGAGAAGCACATTGACTCAACAGAGCTCAATTGGAAGTGCCGAAGAACTACTGTAGTTTCTGAGTATATGCTAGCGACACCAGTTATTTGGCATTTTAATATATTTTATAAAAATGCATTGGACAAATCTTGGACAAACATTCCTTGGACAGATTTTTTTTTTTCTTTTTGAGCAGGAGGCAGAGAAGGTAAATATTTTAATTTGGAAAGGAAAAATGAAGACCAGATTAAAAAACAGGATGTTTTGAGGCAAGTGTAAAGTAAAGCTTTGAATTTGGGATCTTGAAGTATACAAGGCGAGCTTTGAAGTTAAACATGCTTGCTAAGTTTCTTTTTTTAAAGCTGTTTAAACTAAAAAGCAAATATCCACTTCACATCTGCCTTCTAAAAATTATCTACAGTGTGACTGATAAGACTTTGGCCTTTAATCCATCTTTCTATGGCATAAGCCTAAAATTTGTTTGTTTCCAACAACCAAAGCCTGTAGCCTGTATAACAGAATTTTCTTCTGTTTATAAGCTTAGTGCAGAAACCTCTTTAGTGGAGGATAGCAACCATGCATTGATGACAAAGCTCTCTGACCTGGAACATAATTTTGGCTCTGCTAGTATATTTTTGTGTGTGACCTTAGATAAGTCACTGTACTGTTCTCTGAATTTCTCCTTCTTACGGGGAGATATTCATAAAAATAATTGTAAACTACTTCGTGGAAATCCTTTTGTTTAAAGGGCTGCCAATGAATACCAGTCACAAGATTCAGCAAATCTCCCTCCAGAAGCTGAGCTTCTTGAAGGACAGGGAACTTTTTCTTCTTTGACTCAGCAGTATTATATTTGTAATACTGTTCCTGGCCTATAAGACGGTCTCAAATACTGTAAATTTATGACTATTAAGCAGATTGCAGTCTTGGCAGCCCACTGCCTCTTAAGTATCTTTTCTGTGATTCTTTTCACACTCAGCATCTAAATGGCCGCCGCTATTTGCTCTAGGATAAGTACCCAAGGCATTTACTTAAAAATACTCATGTCTAGAGTGATAACTTTTGTCTTTGGGTCACCATTTCGCTTTTCCGAGGTACTGCACTCTAGACTTGGGATCTGGGTCCCGAGGCACAGGGAAGAGTTCAGTACGGGAAGCTCATCGTCTCGCCCTCTGATTGGTCGGCTCGCACTCCACTCACGCAACTCGCGTCCTTGATTGGCCACCGTGGCACCCCTTAGCCCGCGACTACTTTGTGTGCGGGGGCAGCGCGCTCAGATCCTCGGTCTCAGCTTGCCGTCTGGGCTGGTATGTGCTAGTTCTTCGGCTCACTGCTCTGCATCGCGGGCGCCAGGAATTTCCCGAGTCTGAGCGGGTAGGAAGCATTCTAAGGAAAAGCCCCTACACCCCCCCGTCCCGTGTTCTTTTTCCCGTACTGAATAAACTTCCGCTTCAGAGAGGCTGTCGCAGCCGCGGTAGGGGGAGAGGCCAGGCATCGAACTCAGGCCCTCGTGGGAGACCTTTATGTCCGGGCGAATGTGGAAACACAGCCCTCATAAAGTAGGGCTTCGTTAGTCGCATGTGGGTGCGATGCCATTCTATGGCATCAGTTCGCGTTGCAAACTGCAGAAGAGCGGCCAGACCTGCCTGCAGGGACTGAGCAGCAGCAATCACCCCTAACAAGTAGCCAAGAACAGGCTTCCAATCTCCAGTACCAGTGCTCCTTAGGGCTGCGGGTTAAACTGGCACAGGCTGGTCCATTCCTGGCGGTCGAGAACACGGCATTCCCTGGAGGTGGCGCTCCCGGGAGTGGGGAGTCCGGCTACACTCGCGCCCCCCTCAGCCTCCGGCCTTCAGGCGGTAGAGGGCGGCCTACGCTTGTGTTGGAGCCGGCGCCCGTGCGCGCAGCTGCTGCCCTGCTGGAAGTCTCCCGGTCCCGCTGTGGCTCGCGGATCTGCCTGGCTGTGGATGCTGCGGCTACGCTAACCAAGGGCGCAGCGAGAAGGGGGCGGGGAGAAGCCCTAGCACATGCCAGGGTCGCTGTAGGTGGCAGCGGCCGGCGCATGCGCGCCCTCTCCCAGAAGTCTGGAACGCTGAGGGGCGCGCGCCCCCATTCGCGCGCGCACGCTTGCGCTAGCCGGGGCTTCCCCGCCTGCGCTGGTTGTCAGAGCCGCTCCGGCGCGTGCGCGCGTTATCTTCGGCCGACCCAAGTGGCCGGGTTCCCTCTGCTGCAGGCCCCCGCCCCCCGCCGTCCCCTCCCAGCCCCCGGTCAACCCGTCCCCTTCCTCTCCTCGCGGAATGGAGCCGGCGCTGCTCGGGGTCGCGCGCCCGGGACCCGGCTCGCGCTCGGTCTCGCGCTGTCAGCGACTGCCGGGCTCGCGCCGCCTCGCGCTCTCCCTCAGTCACTGGCGCCGAAGGCTCCGTTAAGCGGCGGCGGCGGTGGTTCCTGTTTCCGTTTCTTCCTCTCCTTTCAGTCGGGAGTAGCATCCTCCACCCAGCCACCCCTCCCACTCCCCCAACGCTGAGCAGCTGCGGCTGAGGGCTGTGGCGGCGGCGACTGGGGAACGGCGGAGACCGCCTCTGCTCCCGCCTCGGGTAAGGGGGCGTTTGGGGGCCGGGCCCCGCGAGCCTCGGAGTCTGTGGCTGGGCAAGCGCGCGATCTGATGAGGCTCTGGGGATGTGACTGGAGGCTATCGCTGCCCTTTTCCCCCAGGCGATCCCCAGGCCTGTTGCTGCAACTGCTGCTGCTTATCCAGCAGCTCCGGGAAAAGTGGGGAGGGAGCCCTCGGGACGCTCTGGCGGGTGCCTTTGAACGGACCGGAGGGCGCGGGCTGGGGGGTGAGGGGCGCCCGCCGTCCGGACCTGGACGCGGAGCGGCGTCGCCGCTGCTGCCCTCGGCGTCGCGCATCCTTGCTTAGGGCAGGGGCCGAAGCCGAGGAGAGGAGAAGGGATGGGGGCGGGGTGGGAGGTGTCCCTCTCCTCTTCTCCATGTCTACCTGCTCTTTCGTCAGCAACGGGGTCCCTGTTCATGGGCTGTGGGGAGGAGGATGCCTGTGCGTTAGGGGCTTTCGAGAGGGGAGTTCTCGGGCTAGAAATCAGGGAGTGGACCCGTACAAAGACCCACTCTCGGCGAGGGGCCAATGCCAGGACACTTAACGGCGTGAGAGCCCCTGCATCCCCCATTTGATGTGGAAATGATGAGCTGGCAGGTTTTGAGTATCTAAACTTATTTGATAAGGTTAAATGAGTTCATCTTTGTTAGTTAAAGGAGGTTTGTCCTGCAAGAGTGAGTGGGTTGTCGGACGGACGCAGCACCTGTTCTCTCACTGTGGGGATTGCAATCTTCAGCCACACACAACGTCAGAGACGCAGTGTATTTCCTAAGTTAAATGACAGTGTCATGATTAGGGTTTATCCTTGATGAGCTTTTAGCGTTTTGCCATATGTTACCCTTTTGATTGAGGCCTTGGATAAAGACTGAGAGAGGTTGCTACTTTCCATGTTTGAATTAATTTACAGTTGACTTGAGCCAACTCAAGAAGGTGGACCTAGAAAGCCAGAATCTCCAGTAGATAACTCCAAACCTCAAGGTAACGCAGAACAAATTTCAGCAAGAGTTTTTTCTTTTTCTTTTTTAAAAAATCTGTTTAGCATTAAACTCATCACAAGTTAGCTGACTGAACTTTGACTTGGCTCTCTGTAGGCAAGGTTTCATTGTACTAGTTTTTTTTTTTCTTGTTATTCCTGGGATTAAGTGCATATTTGTTTTCTTGGTTAAATTTAAAGTTCATGTTTTTATGCACAATTCTTTTAAAGGGTGCATCATATAGAAAACATTTTAGGAGAGAGGAATAAGTTGTATTGTTTTCTTTAAAATGTTAAAAATGACGTAAAATGCTATGTCAAATAGTAAGGCCCTGTATGTTGCTATCCCTGTGAAATATACTGTAAAATATGTATAGAAAGTCTTGATTACTTGATTTATAAATACAATAGTAAGGATAAGGTGGGAATTCAAACATTTGAAATTGTGATTTTACAGTTTAGTATGTGAAAATGCAGGGAGTTAGAAATTAATTGGCTGTAAGGAACAGAGGGTGGTTTTGGAGGCATGGGTTTTCCTTTTGTTGCTTTACAAATTGAGAATTCTACTTGAATTGAAGAGCTGAACAGCTGGAATGAAAGTTTCATAGACTGCAGAAGCAGATGCAAAAATGTGTCTTTGATCAAGTGGTGAGCTAACATGAAGAGTATATATTGGTTTATTAGGATAGTGATTCAGAATAGTTTCTATAAAACAGCACTATAGAGATTGTATTTTAAGATATTCTTAAAGTAATGGTCACTTGAAGTTATTTTCCTACAAGGCAGTTTTGTTTGAGAAGTATGGAATTAAAAAAGTAATAATTCTGATTAGATTCTGCAGTGCTTGGTTGCAGATTTTAACTAGTTTAAGGAATTGGAATGCCTCTAAAAGTGATGAAATTTGAAATTTGCTAGTGGCTTGGAAAAACTTGTGTTCCTTGTTTATTTTTTTTAAGTGCAGTTGTATTAGTAGATTGGTCTGGAGGGGGAGCTAGTGCCAAAGCAAAGCATAGCTTAATATATGTTTGAATTTTTCAAACATGCAAAAACAGATTTTTATGACCAGAAGAAAACAAAATTTTAATTAAAAGAGTAAGGGAATTGATATGGGCATATATCTGTGTATAGTTCTTTGTGGAGTATATATATTGTGTATTATAAATTAGTTAGAATTTTCATGATCTGAAATAACATAAAGTACATATTTAAGGTTTATTGAATTTCTCATTTGAAATTTCTGAAAATATGTTCCAAAACTTAGAGCGTGTGATAGTAGTTTCTTAACCTTCTTGTGCAATGCAGTAAGAAGGGAAGGAGTGTATCTTGACCTTTTGTGCATGTTGCTTCTTAAATTTTTCATTTAGTATACACAGTCCTAAAATTTCAAAAAAAGCTTCAACTAGAATCCTATATGAACAAAGATATCAACTGTATAGTAATCTAGGTATTTATAAAAAATAGAGATACTTCCAATAAAGAAATGGACCCTTGAGACATCTGGAGAGCAGGATCCCAAGGTCACTTCTTAACCTCTGTCTCCTACAATATAGTGCAGTGAGTCCAGCCGATCTACTAAATTGAATTTGTGCCTTTGAATATATGAAGCAGTTATTTTTTTGGTCTGTGGCACTTTATTTAGATTTCTAAACTGTATAATCAGTTACGTATGTAAATTTACTTCTCACAGTTCACATATTCTTTAAATTCAAGGCTAGAAATTGGTAATGCATATATTAAAATAATTAGAATATTTAGTTTTCTGAGGATAGTGATTGTGCTGTGTGTTCTTTATTGCTGTTCATTATGTAAATAGAATCTCAATGTTGATAAGATAAAGTAGATTCTTTGGAAAGAATGACAATATCTGTGAAATACAGAATAGTGAGGTGTTTACCATATTAAGTGGTTAATGCTATAAATTAAAGTTTTATAAGACATGCCAGATATTTTTATGAATCTTTTACCATTTTTAATGGTTATTTTTGGTTTACTGTAACCTGCATTTAGTAAATCTCTTGGTTTAATTAAATGGTAAGTATACCCATTTCCTATTATAGCACATTTATAAAAGTAAAAGAGTCTCCATTTTATAATCATAAGAGTAAATATAAACATGTAAATAAAATTCTTTACTTAAAAATAGAGCAAAACTAAGATTCTAAACAACTCTGAAACTACAAGTATTACTGTTATAGTACTTTTATACCCTACATCAATCAATACTGATTGTACCTTTGGTACTTTTCTGATTAGATAGATACCCACTTCCAGTCTTCTATAGTCAACAGTAGTATAGTAGGTGTAGCATTTAGAGAGGACCAATACAAGATTCCCTTTGGTTCTCCTTTCAATGATTCTCTGGCTTGTATTTCTGTACCATAAAGTATATGGTTTCTTTTTTGCAGTTTGAATGGTTATTAAATTGTAGTTTGTTATAATGAGACAATTAAACATGTTTAAAAGCAAAAGATATTTACAATTGATTTTTATTTATGTTTATAATATTTTATAGTGGAATTGGGGGAGGGAACAGCATTGGGGAATTGGGGAAGGGGAACAGACAAGTTGCTTTCCTTTTGTTCTTTGGTCTAGTTGTGAAGGACGTCGCTTCACTGGCCCATGTTGGTATTGTGATCATTGCTCTCTTCCCGGCTGAGGTAGATCAGTTGCCAGCCATTGGACGGCCACTCATGGCAGCTCATGGCATCTCATGCTGGCTGCTGGCCGCTCACGCTGGCTGCCGGCCACTCATGGTAGCCCCATTGCAGCCCACTGCAGCCCCACTGCAGT